GGGTCGTAGTCTTTTTTTTTTTTTGTTTATCTTCTTGCTATCTCCGCCTGCTTGTGTTTGGATCACAGCTGCCAGGCACAGCCGTCGCGGAATGGAGCGGGCGCCCATGGAAGCGCACCATGCACCTTGGCCTCTACACATGCGCGGCCTCTCACTTTCTTCTCTCTCTCTCTCTCTTGCTTTGTCTCCTCCTCCTTTCTTCTGAAAGCGCGTTCATGTTGTACCGCGAGAGTGTGCGGAGCTCGAAGTCTGACAAAGCGTCAACTCGGGTCGCCAATGACGAGGCGAAGGTGTCGCTTTCGGCGTTTAGCTTCCTCTTCTCTGAGATGTGTACGCAGGCACATAGTACGCCATCCAAGGCCTCCAACGTTGAGGAGATTGAGCAGCGGCTAACAAGTCTCGGCGCGTTGGTCGGAGCGAGGCTTATCATGCTCTCCTCTCTAAAGGATCCATTGGAGCTTCAACGACGTCCCGTCACGATTGAAGCTGCGCTGAAGCTTTTTCAAGACAAACTGTGGTCCCGCTGGTTTGGTAAACCTGCAAATGACCTCCAACGCGAGACTGGTTCAGACCGGTTTTTTATCTTTGACAGCGATCCCATTGTATTGAGGTATATCTACCCCTCACCAGAGTATGTGGACGCCGAAGGCCGGTGGAGCATCAACTACGCGAGTTTTATGGGCGGCATCGTTGAGGGAGCGCTGAAGGCAGTTGGCTTCGCCGCGGAAGTGCTCACCTACCACCAGCCAGAGCCTGGTAAACCCCATCAATCTATTTTTGCAATATCATTTCCACAGCATGTATGGGATCGTGAACGGCGCGTGCGTGGGTAACAGGAAGAGGCTTTTGACAAATCCTCCTTTGCTTCTGCACCAACTCCGCCACGGTCTTCTTTGTCGGGGAGGAGCGAAGGTCTGTGAATAACATGAGGGTCTTCCTCAACTCAGTAGTCGCTTGAACGTTGCGTGTTGTCTCATTCTTCACCTTGCGGTTCATTTGTCCTTGGACGCCACTTTTTGGTGCTTGCATGGGTTTGAGTGTAGGTGTGTGTTGTGGGTTTTGTGGTTGGTTTCCTCCGTTCTCTTTCAGGGACGTCATGTGTTTTGCTTCTTTTTTTTTTATTCAGTGGGGGTGGGAGGTTTGGTTATGTATTGCTTTTCTTGCTTTTGTTTTCGTCTTTGGTTTCTTGACTCCCACGCGTTGTGGGATTCAGCATGCGTCGCTGGGGCACAGCGGCCGCGCTGCTAGGATGGTGTCACCTGCGGCACAGTAGGGCGCGCCTCACGGAGGCGCACATACGGCATGAGGTCCAACAGGCCGTTCGCCGTCTTGCTGCAAGATCCTCCCCGGCGTGGGTTCCCGTCTCACGGGTGTCATCCGCCCTCTCCGACGAGGCGTGCGAGGCGCTGGCGGGGCTGGGGGGGCTGGCAGGGTTTTGTCGTCGTCCGGAGGAAGCGGGCGAGCCCCGGTTTGCAGTCAAGATGGTGAAGGGCGTGCTGTGCGTAAGGCTGCTTGACATCAAAGGGTCCCCCGTGAAACACTGCGTTGGGGAGGGAAGACGGAACGCGCTAACTGCATCGGAGGAGCTACGCCAGACTTGTAGCCTCCTCCCTGACAAACCCGTCTCGTTGAGTTCTTGCCAACGTGCCTGGAAAATGCCTTCCATGGAGGCAACCGTGCAACACCTTGCGTCGAAAATGCAGGGCGTGGAGCGCATCCTGCGGCGTCGCACGTGTGAATTCGCAATGCCTTTGTATGTGCAGGTGGGTTACCGTGGGAACCAAGCAATCATTGTTGGGCTTGGACCGCAACTCATCTCTCTACTGGATCAAAGCAGCACTGAAGAGGCGCAGCTTTGGGACGAAGTCACCTCCCCTCAATACGATCTCTGGCGTCTTTCACGCTACTTGCGCACGGATGCTTTTGTGTCCATTGGCGAGTTGCTGTCGTCGACTGATGGTGTTCTCCAGACACCGTTGCTTCAGGTGGCCATGTCGTATCCACAGCGCATTTCTTTCTCGCTGGGCCCCACTATTTGCGTTGAATCGGCCGATGCGGGACGGTTTTACGTGAACGGTGACACCTGTAATGAGATACGCGAGGTGCTTGGAATGAAGTTTTTGTTGTCTGAGGCGGAGGTGGAGCGGCACCTGACGTCGAGGAGCGAAAAACTCAGTGGCTTGACGGACGAGGAATTGCAGGGGGAACGTTTAAAACTCAAGAATATGGCGCCGATGCGTCGGCAGAAGCTGCGTCGGTCGATAGTGCGGGAGGAGTTTCGGCGTCGATTCCCACGCGGAAACGCCTTTTTGAACCCCAACGTGGTGGCGTTTCACATTTACGACCAAATGCTGCCGGGGGTGTGGGTAAACAACGCGATGGTGCGCGAGACGCTGCTTCCGGACGGTGGCAAAGGCACGATGCACGTTGGGGTTGACTTTTTTGATCAGTTTCCACACCTGTTCATTACGCAGTCTATAACGACGACCTCCGTGAACGTGATGCGGCGCGAACAAGGCATGGAGGATGTCCCGAGTGACGGGGAGAGCTGGAACCGTAGCGCCTTTAGCGATGAGGAGATCCTGCTGGTTCTTCTGCCGCGTCTCACCAACAAGAAGGAGGACTGGGGCGAGAACAAGGCCATTGAGGTGCTGGCGGCACTCCTTCCACGGCACGTCTTCAAGTACTTGCAGAACCGCGGCGGGGCGAAGTCGCGATTAGCCGCGATCCTCAAACGCTACCCAGAGGCGTTTGAGATGCTGGATGCAGAGGAAACGAGTGACGACAAGAAATGGGGAAGAGTACACTTGCGCTACGATGGCATCGCGAAGCTTGGTGCACAGCTTGTGAACCAATTGCAGGCCGATGAGATGAGCACGAAGTTCACACAACAGCAATCGAAGGAAGAGAAGGAAAGGGGGGACCAAACTGATAACGAGGAGGCGGAGAGCAGTCGTGGTGGCGCTGCTGCTATAGACGAATAAGACGAAGTGTTAGGAACTGGCGGCAGTGTCGTTCGGACGACCGTTACGGAAGGATTGATCACCTTTGTTTGCTCTCTCTCTCTCTCTCTCTTTTTCGCACTCTCTGCGTGACTCTGCCTTCATGTTTTTCCCCCGTTTTTTTTCTTTCTCTGTGAATGAGGTGCCGCGTGTTTCTGCATTTTACTTCTGTTCTCTTAACACTTTTTTCCCCTCGCCGAGCCGGCGGTGTTTTTGACTTTTTTCTTCTTCTTTTTGCCGCACTGATTCATAGCAAGCGAGCAGCAAAGCTTTCTCGCCATGGCAGGGGTTCTTACGGAGAACTTGGTGCTGCAGAAGACCAAGGTGGACAACATCCAGCGTGTGCGGAAGCTAAACGTGTGCGCTGCGCAGCTCAGCGACATTGGCGTGCTGCGGCGTGCAATCAACCTCGAGGTGCTCTCCCTTAGTCTCAACGAGGTCAGTGAGCTCGGGGTTCTTGAGAACTGCCGCCGTCTGTGTGAGCTGTACCTCCGCAAAAATCGAGTGGAGGACCTCAATCAGGTGCTCCACCTCTGTGATAGTAACTATCTGACGGTGCTAAATCTCTCAGAAAACCCCATTTGCCAGGACCCAAACTACAGACGCTTCGTCATTGCTGCTATTGCAAGCCTGCGACGCCTGGACGACGTCGATATTCTCCCGCAGGAGCGGGAGGAGGCGTACAGGGTGTTTCCGAACCTGCGGACAATTGCCCCGCCTCCATCAATGTACTGCGACCCCGCAAAGGGCAAGGTGAAACCCGCAGTCAACCAGATGGCTCTCTACGCCGCAGCAGCGAGGCATACGGCGCAGCAATCACGTCATAACAGCACCTCCGACTACGTGGATGACCATTTCCCACACGGTAACGGTGGCCGACGCACCCCGGTGGCTCGCAGTCCAGTAAAAGGCTACATGGCAAAACGGAGGAGCACGCATTTAGAGTCTCCGCAACGTTCCCACTATGAGTCGGCGCAGCGCGCGCTTCACGCCAAGAGGGCGTCCTCTAGCAACGGCGGGATGGGTTCTATGCATGCGCAACCACTTCAAATTGGCCCAACTGAATCGGGTGTTGTGCAGGCGGTGAAGGTGCTGTTGTCAGAGCTGAGCGCGGATTCGCTGGACGAAGTGCGCCGCTTCATCGATGCGTTGAAGTGAGCCTAGAAACCAACGCAGCAGGCGGCGCCCAAGCACAGAGGGAGAACGCAACATTTGATTATGTCCACAGTGTGCTACACATATGTGAGATGCTTTTTTTTTATGTCCCCAAACAGTGCAGCGAAAAAGAGATACCGAGTGTACGTTAGAGCGAGAATCCAAATAAGAATAATAAAAGAATAGATAGCGCCTGCGCAAGGCAAAATGAATAAGGAGTCAAGTAAGATGTGCTGGGGTGAGGGGGAGAACAAAAGTGAAAAAAAAATGAAAATGAAAAGAAAAAGAAAAAGAAAAAAAGTAGTCATCGAAGTGTGTTCTGGACTGCTTCTACAAAGTTCGTCTGAGGCAGCAGGGAAAAGGAGTTTGCAGGCCAAGAAAAGGAGGATAATCCCACCGCTGTGGGGCGGAAGTGTGGCCTCGGCAATGTTAGTGTCTCTCTCTCTCTCTCTCTCTCTGTGTGTGTGTGTGTGTATGTGTCAAGATGTGGGAAGGGGGGAAAAAAAACCGGGAGGGGGAGAGAGAGAGTGTGGGGTATTTGTACTTGTAGACACATTCCCTTCTTGGAGGGGGATGAACAGCTCCAGGTGAAACTAAATGATGAGGTGGGCCGGTAATCACAAGGGGAACCTCCCCTAAATGAACGACCATAACAGAGTAACCTTGAAGTTTCAAAGCC